GGCCTTGTCTATAATACTACACTAGATAAGTAACTCCGGCCATAAGTTGAAGCCGGGTTCCACCATCTTCTTGATTGGCAAATAATATGCTATATCTTAGATATATTTATGGTAAATATTAATCAATTTTGTATTGTATTTTATTATGCCTAGACCTGTTGTTTGTGATAAAAAAAAATTATTGTATATAGATCATTTTGTCGTTGTTATTTTATTTCACCTTTAAAAAAATATAATATAATCCCATTTACTACTTATACATTTCGTTTATGCCAACCAATATTTTGCCAACCGCCGACAAAATGCCGGCTGTCCACCTGATCAGCTTCACCCATAACAATGTAAATTATATTATAGGAGTTACTTATCTAGTATAGTATAGAAGTGTGTGTAATGATCGTGCCTAATATTGTCGTATGGTTGGACAAAAATGATTGTATTATAACAGTGCTGACCTACGTATATTGCGTAACACCGTTTTAATCATTATAATATTAACATGTTTATTTTTATCGCCGCCGCCGTCGCTATACCAAGGTCACGGTTATTATAATGACGTCATCGCACATACCAGAGTTGCGTTTAAAATAATATTGTGGGGCGCCGCCGCCGTTCTGTTTCGTCAGAGCCGCACGAGTGTCGCACTATCGCAGTGGTCGTATTGCCGGCTGTACATCCATTGAACGCATCTGTACCGAAGTCATATCGTATCCCGCGAGTTGTTGTTGTTTTTTTTTATTACTATTTTTTATTGTCAGTTGCCGTTGTACTCGCCTACGATGTCTAACGCCTGCGTACCCGATAGTGTCAAGTGTCTGGACGGAATCGACTACGAAGTCGTAAAAGTAAGTGCATTCTAATATACTAATACGTAGCTGTAATGTCATATAGTATTTTATTTCGCTATAATATTTCTGTTGCTTTTGCTATCGATTGTGCAATACAGTTCAACCTACCGAATCACGATTGACTTTGTTTGTGCTAGTATTATACACATCGTATAATCGTATCGATCTCTTCCTCAGATACCAACCGCGGTATAAATCCAGTGATTGAATTGGTGGGGAAAAATGGGAGGGAGACGAAAAGATGTAAACATATATACCTTAACATTCAAACGAATTAGGATAATAAATACTAAGAAGGAGTATAAATAGATATTTTTGAAAAGTAATTGAGACTGTAGCCCCTCTCCCCTTCAATGCAAGTACAGAGTATAATGCGTTCGTTACGACCGCTACTATAAAATCATGATTGCGCAATGTTCCATGATTGAACATTACTCTAACGAATTAATATTGTGTTGCTTCAAACTGTACAGAGGAGGGGAGGGGATTACATGGTTGGCAGTGTAGTACGTTATACTTGGTAACCGAACTCGAAACTCAATAACACATACTTTCGAGCGTGTTTCGGTGTTTGTTTTTATTAAATAGAAATTATTTTCAATCAAGTCCAGCGTTTAGTACCAAAAAAAAAAACTACACAAAGGTACACGCAAATAATAACAACAAAAACAACCGTAGACATGTTATTGAGCAGCACATCCGTTTCATTTATTATTGTAATGTTACCGTACGAAATTCCACAATAGAAATCCCGGAAACGCACTTCGATCGGAAGCAATTTATTGCTAAAATGTTAAAAATGTCGATTGACTAAAAAAATAACTCCACAGATATGTGTAGGTACAACGTGCGTGCAACGTGGACCGTTCAATCGTAAATAGCAGTACTGGATTATTTGGCGTGCGTTTTACCGACTTATCGCCGTAATTTAGAATCCTAGAATTTAATAGAAAATATTCTAATATTATTTTAGGCACTCATGTCCTATAGCATCCATCCAAACGTTTTACTTATCATTACGTCATTATTATTGTATACCTATGATTTTCGCATGTTTTCAACTCCGTGGTAGACTTTACAAGTTTTTTACTGTCACTATTTAAATACATCATATTGTAATAGTTGTCCCCAGACATAAATTATTTGTACTGAATAAACACGATCTTTGATCGAACGATTATAAATAATTCGCTACGCTAATATGAATTTATTAAACTACTCTGCGTTTTTGACAACATACTATTTTTTTTTTTTTTTTGTAAATTGATTGACTTTTTGCTGATTAATGAAGTTCTTGTACAGGTTTGACGGAGTGTAAGTAAGCTTGGTCGGAATGTAATTTTTTTTTTATCAAATTCCTGAGTATAGTATACATAGTCTACATAGTGAAAAATAGTGGCACAACATTTCTTAGAACTGCAAAGTTTAGAAGTCAGGCGTTTATTGAGTATACCTGCATTATTGATACGATTATTTACGTGTTCAACACCGTGAATAATATTTTATAAAGTAATATTTATAATATGATGAATAGGTATTCAATCAAATGTAAACCGCACCAAGATGTGAAATTCTAAATAAAAAGTTGCAAACAACGCGGCGCGGCGGTGGTGACTGTGGTAATATAATTATTAATGAATTTAGCTGCTCTATTGAGTTTCAATGCACTCATAAACGCAACTTGACTGGGTTACCTTTAGTTTACTACCGTGTTTGAAGAGGGTACTGGTTATTGCGTATAGGATTGTTTTATTATCAGATACAAAATGGCCGCTTAACGAGATATCACAAAACATATAAATTTTGCCTTTAAAATTCGTAAAACTCATAATACCTTAATCATAGGTACGTCATGATTATTATTTATTTATAGTATATTTATTTAATCATAAAAGTGAACAATAATATTTATAAAATATTTGAGTATGTTGATACCTAGATATACTCTCTATAAGCAATGTTTGTAGTTGGAGAAGGAATAAGTATTAGTTGAGAAGTTACCGCTTGCTGATACTTATGCATTTTGCGAGGCATTTTGTTTCTCAGGTATAATCCTCTGATCGGATTTACATTTTAAAAACACTATTTACAAATAATACCCATATTATTCAATTAAACCCTTGTACATTATTTTCAAGTTAATTAGTTTAAGCTATACACAATGTGGTTTTGACCTGTTTTTCGTAAATTCACACAGGTTATAGGCATATTATTTTATTATAGGCATATTATTTGGCCGTCTCGACGTATAAATCATGGTTTTGCTTTCTACTACTATACCTACTCGGTTTTTCACTCATATCTGTACGCCCACACACAACCTAACTTTATAGTCGTCAAGATCTGATTAAAAAAATTCACGAAATTTTTATGTTCAAAAATATTGTGATGTTCTATGGTCATATGTAACAATAGCTTCGATAACTTCTAAGCCTGTTATAGCCGTATATATTATCATCTCATATAACAGATAAGAGACGAGTTTATAATGATTGACGTAATGTTTTGAGCTAAGGATTGATAGTTGTTTATATTGTATAGTCACTAGCCAACTCACCCCCTCCCCTTCACGGATTATTAACTTTTCTCGAAGGTAGAGAGATGATTGACGTTTTGAGCAGAAAAAGTCATGTCGGATATGGGGGCTACTCCTTTTTAATGTGTATTTCGTCGACTGTCGTACCGAAAGATGTACCTATATAAATTAGTATAATATTTAAGTCAAGGTAGGATAGATTCGCGTGCGCAGTGGAACGGCTAAGACAGACCAGCAAGTAGTTACCTACACATCAGCCTATTCACATATACCTATTGATATATTATTATGATAATCGTTCGATGCAAATCCGAAAGTATGTATTATATCCAGCCCAATCGGTTTTACGTCGGTCTGCGATTATTAATATCCAACGTCCGGCCACGGCTTAGCGAGGAACGCTGAGAGGAGAAACTGTGTGTGGTGTGAGTAGGTCACTCGTGAACCACAGGACATACAGGGGTTCGCCGGTAAACCGTAAACCTTTTGTCCACCAATGTTGCAGTTTCTACACATAATATCGAGGTTGTGAGACAGATAGAGGAGGAGAGTTGGCGAGAATACGGTTGCGTATAACGATATTATTATATAGTCGAAGCAAATATTCCACGCCGGTCCGGTCGGATCATGGCGAAACCATATATATATTATAAGTACTTTAGTTAGAGCACGGGAAAAGAGCTTAAACTCAAAGTAAATTCATATTTTGCAGATTATATTGTTATAACTATTGTAAAGTGTACATATATTAGACAACTATATTATTATAGTCGACATTTGTTTTTTCAGACTGGCAATACGCGCGAGCATTGTAACATAATATAATAGCTAGTATATTAGGATTACCGTGTATAAAACATATAATTTCAACCATAGAAGATCACCCTACCTATTTGGTTTTTTTTTCAGACAGTCCGAGCTTATACATTCTAATAATATTATAATGTCACCTTTTCATTATTTCTCTATAGGTACTAGCTAAAAGCTGTGGTTATTTTTTTCTTACACAATATTGTTTGTTTGTTTTTTTTTTTATTATTATTATTATTATTATTATTATTATGACAAACATGTTATATTATGTTTGTGCATAATTCAAAAAACGAAATATTTCCATCACGATTTTTTTTTGTTACCACCATTCTATTAAGCTCAAGTATGTAAGTTTCTTAGAAATAAAAACGTATAACGTGCTAACTATATTTGTTCCATGTGTTACCTACGTATATCAAATTTTTCCTAATATTAATAGATTTCTTGTGAGTTAGGTTAGTTTATTATCATATCTATTATGTAATATGGTTTATAAAATGTGTGGTGTGTTTTTCAGATTCTTACTTCAAACACGCTTTTTATAACACGGTAATAACTAATAAGTACCTATTTAAGTATATCTGAGTCAACTATTTAGGTATTGTTTTTCTTTTCTTAGGATATAGTGTTATTAAAAGTGGATGGGAAACTGGGAAATATTGCGAATAGGACAAATAGGTATTATGTTATTGGTAGTTTTTATGGATTAATTCGTTATTAACTGTAGTTAAAAGATATTTTAGCTAGTCTATAGGGTGGGAACGGGAACTCATTTTTTAACAGACCACGATTCATATGTTGTATCAGTGTCAATCTCACTGGTTAGAGAATTGTTATTATGCTTTATACACTCTTAATAAGACCATTATATTTTTTCTTCTGAATAATTCGACGCGGTTGACGATTTTATGAGGACATTGTGATAATTCGATTGTCGTGGCTATGGCGGTCAGTTATCGTAGACGTCCGTGGTCAGTCGGACATTTTGAAGTGTTGGTTGTCACGGTACACAACACTAGCAGGAGGTGAGATACAGAAAAGACAAATTTTGAAATTGATGGTGTGTGTTTTTTAATGATCAGAGGAAACAGAAAACAAAATATGGTTGTTCCTTGTTTTAGAACAGAAACGTATCGGGTGAGTCCGCGGTTCGTTGCGATTCGGTGTCAGTGGCACACTTGGTCGTTATATTTGATGCGAGAACGAGAGGCCGGCGGCGACCGGACGCGTTCAGCGCGACTCGTCTTCCTGTTCCGCTTAGGTGCCCTTACGGCGTGGTGGAAGAGTCGATGGTGTTACGCGGACGTGCCCCTGTGGTGGCGATTGGTAAAAACGTAGACTGCGGTCCTTGTACTGTGTACTGGCTTCCGCTGCGGACCGTGCACGATATGACTTGCAGAGTAGATTGCAATTGAAAATACAATGAAGAAGTAGGGACTACATAGATAATGCACCACCCGAATTATAATTGATTTAAACTGTTACCGATTGCTCGATTGTGCTATATCGATATTTGGTATTTAATTTAATTTTCAAGTGGAAAAAAAAATGCAAGCCTGTTTAACTAAAAATAATAAGGTATATGATGCAAAGCGGTGTAAACATTTTACGGACGGCTGATATCACGAGACTAGAAATACGCGTTTGATGGTTATTTATTAGTAAATATGTCCAATAGAGTTTTCCGCGACAAAAATAAATGAAAATACGATAAACGTTTAATACGCGTAATCATTTTATTTCGCTATCAACGAATTCGTATAATGAAATCAGTTGCCACAACTTAAGAAACGACCTTTAAAAAAGCCCAAAAATAAACAACCGCTCATTTTTAATAGTTGGCCTTTTTTACTAAGATTATACCACGGTATTATTGTTATAATGTTTTTTTGATGCGTGGATACAAATATTAAACTCTTGTGATGTGCCAAAACGTTTAAGTATTTTACAAAACGAATCGACAGTGTTGTATGTCTTTTACGGCATTTCGTATATTTATTTTCAAACTTATATACTCGAAAATAAAACGCTACACTATTATAATATTGTTATTGTTACCATCGTGTACGTAAAGTATATGTCATTCGACGAATAGGCGATAAAAAAGTTACGACGTACGTTTCCCTGAAATGCGTTTAAGTTAAAGTTGTTTAAAGTCTATGATAATAATATTATATTATACTCACTTAATAACGACGTTTGTTTTAATAAATAATATAGTTATTGTCGTCATCGTCGTCGTCGTCGTCTTTCGGTATTTTTACAACTAGAAAACCATTCGAATTATCCGCTTTCCGCCAGTAAAATGAATATAAGCACCGTTTTCGTTTGCATATCACTATTTTTATTATTATTATATTATATACTCGTATATTTTTGGACACGCTCCTTAACCGTTCGGTTACCGCGTTTGTAACCAGCTATATTAAAAGGCAGATTACGGATGTATAACAATAATTATACTGACAGTGCTAACGTTACAAAATATATTACTATTAAGTATTATTATACTACAATGTTATTGTGTTCTTATTAGGTGTTAATATTATATTAATGGACAATCGCATTAAAAACAAAATATTATTCTAGCATAACGCTCATTTCGAATGGGTGACCGAATACGAGAATACCATTAAACAATTGTCTTCGGAAGTGTTCGACACTTTGATAGTGAAAGACGAAGGAAAAATGCTGGACATCGCCGTCAAGGGTCTCGATGGGTTCCAAGGAAAGCTGAAATCGTCAATGGACGCTTTGGTGAAACAGGTACAACACCCGAATAATAATTTAAATCGCCATGACGATTACTGCAGATGACTACCACGGATATCGCGATAGTCGCTGCAATACTCGTGATGCGAAACACCATTACCCCGTCTATGTCTGTCCTTCACAATTTAGAAGTTTTCTCCCAATTTTGCGGCATTCACGATGAGATTTCCGTAAAATTATTGTAATTTTCTGCCGTTGTGTCACCGTCTTGTCTTTGCCTCCCCTCACCTCTCCGTCCGCCATGCATAGGTCAGAGACAAATCCGGCACGGACGAGCGGGCCAAATCGTTTGTCGGCGAGTGGGCTGAAGCCGCCAAATACCATGCCGATTTGAAGTACCATCACGCTGGTGGGGGTCCAAATGCCATGAAAGTGCGTTGGGGCTTCGAGGGTGCCATCAAGTACATAATCGTGTGCGCTACGCATCTGGCCGACGAGGGTGGCGATGATGCAGACTTCAAAAAGGAAGTTTCTGGCTACGTGAAAGATGTCATCATTCAAAGCTTGATCGATCATCTGAACGGCATTAAGGTGCGAACGAAATGATATTATTACATGTACTTATACGATCTACTTTTTTTCCCCACTAGGAACGTCCGCAGACGATGATGATAAATTATTATTATACTATACTATTTTCAGTAAATGAAAACATGTTAACTATAATAGTTTCACCATTGTTTAAACATTTACTACTTTGATCGCGTAAAATAACATGGGCAAGTATATTAAGTAACAATATGCGCCATAAACTTTAGATAGTGCTCTCCCAAAAATAACGAATAAAAGTAAAATAAAAGCACCTAGCTGTCAGATATTCGTGCGTCAGTTATATATTTTATTCGTGAAATAATAATGCTATTATCGCATGAAACCGTATTCGTATTATAACTAGACTTTGTCAGTATGGCGTAAAATGTATATTTTAAAAGAAATTTATAATATTATTACCATACACTGGTGTATGCCTCTTTAACGCTTACGTAAACAAACTATGATATCGTCATAATAAATTATAGTTGGCGATGGTTATAATATAGTATCCGTTATTGGTTATTATATTGCATATTGATCGTTTAGGAGGCACTTTAAGGGAAACTTAATATTATTGAGAAAAAAAAATACGTTGTTTACTTATTAATTATTGCTATTATAATACATTTCAGAGCGAATTGGAAGCTCTCCAAAAAACTTCGTAGACACAACGACGATGTTATGCACCAGGACGTGAACTTCTAAACATACCAATTTTAATATTATATAAAACAAACTTAAAATTTTATCAATTTATATGTGTGATTATATTATTATTTATAATGCAAACTATACAATCTCTCAAAAAAGTTTTTTTTTAATGATTCGTAGAAATTTAGTTTATTAATAAGTCATAAAATATTTTACTGTTATTTTTAAATTATATAATATAAATCATTTTGAAAAACCTGGTTGTTTATAAAAATTTTATTGGGTTAAGAATCCTTCAACTTCTGAAGTCATTAACCTGTAATAATTATAAAATATCGGTCTTCAAATTATGG